TATTTTGGCCTATGTCGGTTTTTCAGTTTTTCCAGTTTTTCATTTTTTCGTTTTTGATTTTTCTGCTTTTCCAATTTTTCAACTTTTAACTTTTCGTTTGTCGATTTCCCTATTTTTCGATTTTTCGACTTCATCACTTTGCGATTTCTCGTTCTTTTGATCTTTCAATCTCTCCATTTTTCAATTTTTCCAATTTTTAAGTTTTTTGATTTCTCGATTTATCGAAATTTGGATTTTTCGATATTTTGATTGTCAATTTCTCAATTTATAAATTGTTCAATTTTTAACTTTTCGATTTCGGTTTCTCAATTGTTCGACTTTTCGACTCCACGATTTCTTGATCTTTTGATTTTTCGATTTCTCGATTTTTCGTTATTCGGTTTTTAAATTTTACATTTTTTCGATTTTCTGATGTTTCATTTTTCGATTTTCAGTTTTTCAGTGTTTCCAAAACATTTTCCCGAAAAAAAAATCCGTTGGGTTATTACGATTTCAACAGTATTCTTAGTTTAAGACGTTTTGCTAATATAAAACACAAATAAAGAATTAATTCTTAGTTAAACAAAGAATGTACCAAAAATATGCACTTATATAAGTCGTTATAAAACCCGACCAAACAACTATTTCCCGCAGAAGTTATAGTCCAAACCAACCAAATCGCTTCTGAACGCTTAGAGTCGACATTGGCCTGAGCGCGCTCTGGTCTGTAGATCAAACAAGTTCTCAGGCGACGAGTTGTAGTGAAACAAGTTTTTTTATTGGCATCGACTATTTAAATTTGGCGGTTGTCTCCAATGTCAATAAGGGTGGTTTTGCAAAATCGGCCTGTATGTCGCATCTATATTAATCTATGGTTTGTACTTAATAAAAGTGTTGATGTTTTCGTTTATATTCCACAAGTTGGAAAACTATAGTCGTAGTCATGTGATAGATATGCAGCAAAGTTGTCAAGTCAGTAAGTCAGCGTTTCTCAACCTGTGGGGCGGACCCCTTTAGCCACTACACTTATAAAGTGTCAAAACAGAATACCACAAGTGACAGACATAACGTAGATTTGAACCGTCGTCTTCGTTGATTCACTATTAAAGTCTCTCCAATCCCTTAAATGTGACATGTAGGGGCGCATACGTCGGGAGGTAAAGGAATCTGTAATGTCGGCTAAATGTCTATCGTGGTCTGACTTTTTGACACAATTTGATATATTGGATAACCTCCAATAATTAATATAATGATGTGATTTATAATGATTTAGCAATATCAATCATATAAAAGTAATACATATAGTGTTGTAATAGTTGACTCTTAACGATCTTCAGTGGTCTTCAGCGGCGCTAACCCCTGCTTTAACGTGATCTGCAGATGTTGACATGATACTTACCAACAGTTTGGTTTTGCTTGCCATTTACTAGTAAAGGAGAGTAGATAAGTAAATAGTGAAGCAAGGGTTCGTTTATATAGGAGCAGTAAGCAACGAGTCAAGCAAACGGACGATGAAAAACTTTCCAAAAAAATGTTATTCGATTAGTTACGACTTCTACAACATCAACACTACAGTTTAGTAAAATTGGATAAAAAATCGGCAAGGAAATGAAAAAATAGTGGAGTTCTTCAAATTTGACGTATACTTTGATAAACTGAAGAGTTCCAATTTAGATGTTGTGCTCGCTCCCCCATGTGCCGCAGAAGAAGCAAGAAATTAGTTTTTTAGGAATATCTCACTTTTGCTGTGAAGTAACAGAAACGTAATTGTTAGCAAAATAATAGAACATTCAATTCCATATATTTTTTGTATAAAACATTTTTCTCTCAGATGAACAGTTTTAGAGATAGAAGAGGATAAAATAGAATTTTAACATTCATTAAAGAAAAAGGACATTGACAATCCCTCACAAGTCTTACAATTTTAAAATTTTTCTACTTAAGGGTTTGGAATATAAATTTTGTCGAATGGTTAGATCTGTTCGCGTTTTGCAAAAACTACTAACAAGAGGCGGAATTAATTTGGTCAAAATAGTGTCAACAATTAATATCTGATGTTGCTGAACGTAACGACAAGATATAAATTTTGATTTAAGCAAAGCATCAGTTAGTAAATGGTTGATTATTCTCAAGGCGTTACCTAAAGGTGGCAAGTACGGTATGATCTCTGTCACAACAGTAGAAATTTGATGGATGAGCGAAACAAAATTTCTGCTTGGGTATTTTAAAGATCCCCTATCTTGAAGATGGATTAACCCCAAAAGTGGTGTACACATGTTGGTAGAAGTAAAGTTGCTAATACAGCCGCAGTCAACTTTTTCTTGTAGAGTCCGAATAATATAACCAGCCAACATTGCAGTTGATGCAGATATTATGCCAAATCCTACTTCACCAATAGTTTTACCAATATTGCAAATGGATTCTTGGATGGAAGCTGGTAAAGTGAGCTGCAAAGTCTCTTCATGGGTCTCTTCAGAGGAAACTGCTACCCCACTGATGAACGCTGTATCATTGGCGGAAATATTTGCAGAAGGTGCTGCCGAAATTATGCCTGTTTTTAATATTTGCTGGATAGCGTAATGGGCTGTTTTGGCATCTGTCGCATCGTGCGAGCCGCCCTTCATTCTGACACTACTAAACATAGACTCCACAGCGTCTGAACTGAAACGACGAGTGAGAACGTAGAAAAACTTGCCTTCGTCAAGTAAATATTTTATACATTCACTTGTGCTCTGAGCAGTGAAAACAAGAGCATGTGCTGTTTCCTTGGTCAAACCTTTTACCTTTTTAAATTTAGAATTGTCTTGCACATTTTTAATATAGTTGGGAAATGTTGTGGAGAGCCAGAATAACCGTTCGTCGGTAATTTTGGTATAAGGAGCGCAGTTACCATCCAGTTGTTTGATATATTGAGTTTGGCTACTCACGTCGTGCAGTTTAAAAAAGTGATTGATGTGTTCCAAATATTCAATCGTAGCATGTGCATCTCTAAAATCCATTGCAGCATTATTATATTTGGCTAGATACTTCAGCGCTGCTATAACTGGAGCTGAAAATATCTGAACAGCCCTTAGCACATTCATTTTTTCCAGATTGTTCGGGTAAATATGCTTTTTTGTCAAAAAGGGAATGGGTTTTATGATGCATGTTTTCTGGATATCGTAAAGTTGTTTCAAGTATTTAGATGTAATGATCCCAATATTCGATGCCATGTCATGCTCTAGAAAAATATTCCGTGCATTCTTCACAGCATGACAATAGTCAAAACTACAAAATAGGGGCAGGTCACTATTAATAGGGTGGTTAATTCGTATTTTTAGTTCTCCATCCCCCAAAGCCTTAAAGAGAGCCACATTAGACTTATGGTTGTCAGTAGTAATTCTCAAAATAGTGAAGCCACAGTCGTGTACAATTTTTAAAATATTTAACGTGATTTCATGAAAAGATGCTGTTGAAAGTATTTTGTGAAAAAAGTATCCCACTGGTATTGTATACTTTGTTGAGAGACCGTGTATCACATAACATAATAATTTATTTGCTAAAACAGGTCGCTTTCCTAAAGGCCCAGTAGTTACAGTGGACATACCATAAAAAGTATCTTCAGCACGACTGTATTGTAATTTCTCTCTAATGGCCATATCATCAACAACCAGTGAACATACTCTCTCAGCTGAATTTAAATTTTGTGCTTCAGCCGTTAATCTGCTTGTTATTAGGTTGGCTAAATTTGTGCCGGCTCCATGTACTTTACCCATATATCTGTTTAAAGTAGTTTTTGATGGCGCTTTGAGAAGATTATTTCTTCTAGCATACTCATAGCCTTTAGGGGATACAAATCTCCACGCAATGCATTGTTTAATTGTTGTCTCGGACCAGCGTGGTGTACTTTTAGAGTAATTGTAAATCTGGTCCAAAATAAAAACTGCAAGCGGATTAGAATTTGCAGCCTCAGATTCTATTTTGCTAACACACTTCTGTGCCTTGTTTTGATTGTTCGAAATACCCTGCATCTGCTTGATAGTGTTTTGATATTTTTCGTGTAGTCGGGAATATTTTTCATTTACCCTTTTGAGCTGCATTTCTAAATTTTGAATTTGGGCTAACAGGACAACCTTGTCGTTACAAAAATGAGTTTCGTCATCATGTATTTCGGTTTTTACTTGAAAAATAGGCAAAATTTCGGTACCGGTGCCAAAGTCACAACGCCATGGGCGTGGATGGTCTTCAAAGGGATATGCAGTAGGAAAGTTTTTCTTTGAGGTGTTTACATTGTTATCAAAATGTGTCTCAGGAATTATGAAGCTGCATTCTGGATCACGTTTAGTACTTGCTGGGGAGCTTGAAGAAGTAGGAACAGGTAACGGTGACTTGGAACCATGAAGAAACAAAGTAGGAACAGAGCCGGGTTTAAGTCTTTTATTAGTGTAGTAACAACTCTTCTCAAAGTGTTTACCACAAATGTATAAATTATTTGCAATATCATCACCTGAAATGGTTTTAATGGCTATACATTCCCTTAGGTCAAAGATTTATGTGGGGGTACCTACTTGTAGCATTAAAAACCTTTTTGCACCACAACCTTTTGTTTAAAGTGTTTGAAGGGAATCTGTGCATTATTTTGTGGTCTCTAGGATCCTTGATTACCCCACAAGCAGGCACAGAGCAATATTTTCTGGACATTTTGATACTACCAATTCAACCACAAACTGTTTTGGCGCGTGACAAAACGGATTAATTACAGGTTCCTGTAACTCCCGAAGAGAGTGACATCTTGTGATATTTTCCCTTTTGACAAGTCGGACGATTGTAACCAATTGGAGAGACTTTAATAGTGAATCAACGAAGACGACGATTTGAACATACACTTGACGTATAAATGACACTATGGCGTTATTGACTTGTGGCTAAACCCACACGTCATTCTTTCATTTCGAAAATCCTCATCCATGTTTTGGGAACCGCTGACTTTGTACTCACCATTCTATTATTAAAAGAGTGCCTCCTCCACACCATAAAAAATTATCAACAGCAGCGATAACACGTAACATTCCTGCTAAACACAAGAACAACACAAATATTTGCAACTTGATTATTGGCAAACCCTGATAACAATTGTAATGGTATAGATAAACTCCTCCACCAAGTGCGTCACTGGTCATTATCGCAAAAAAGAAAACCAGTTATCATGGTTCAGTCCTAATACTCGTACCATAATTACACAATAATTACCCCCATTCATGCCTCAGCCACGCCACTGACTCATGCCACCAGCGTGCTCCGGCGTCACTCATCGCTGCATTTCGGCTGCTTCTGTCAATCAAACCTAACCTAAAAATACATTTCACGCTTCGCCCGTTTCTCGAATACAAAAAGACATAAATCAATGGTTGCTGGGGGTGATGGTACAGGGAAGAGAGACTGGCGACCCTTCGTGTACGGTGGCCTTGCTTCTTGCGTCGCAGAGTTCGGTACGTCCCCGCCCTAACCTAAAAAAAAAAATCAAACTCGAAATTTCAGGCACCTTCCCCATCGACACGACCAAGACTCGCTTGCAGATCCAGGGGCAGAAGCTCGACAAGAACCATGCCACGTTGAAGTACAGGGGCATGGTTGACTGTCTCCTTAAAATAGGCAGAACCGAGGGAGTCGCCGCTTTGTACTCAGGGTAAGGGTTCCGGCGCCACTTTTCGCAACTCACGTTTTTACTAAAGTTCTAGAGTAGCCCCCATTTCTCCGCGTGTTTGCCTGTAATATATGTGCGCCTTTGTTTCTCAGTATATGGCCAGCGGTGTTGCGCCAAGCCACATACGGTACAATTAAGTTCGGTACGTACTACTCGCTTAAGCGGATTATTGTAGAGCACAATAATGGGAAAGAGAGTGTCACCGTCAATTTGTGCTGTGCTGTGATAGCGGGGGCGGTTTCCAGCGCGATCGCTAACCCCACCGATGTGCTTAAAGTGCGGATGCAAGTGCAGGGGAGCCACGGCAACGTCGGCTTGATCGACTGCTTCAAAGACGTCTACGCGCATGAAGGAATCTCGGGGCTGTGGAGAGTACAAAGTTTACACATAATTTGGAATGAGTAATCAATGTTTGTCCGTAGGGAGTCAGCCCCACTGCCCAAAGGGCTGCTGTGATTGCCGCTGTGGAACTACCAGTATATGACTTCTGCAAAAGTCACTTAATTAAAACGTTCGGTGATAATATTGCAAATCATTTTGTGTAAGTCTTAAGTCGTGTTTGTTACCCCCATATCACCCTTTGTTTCTAGCTCTAGTCTTTTCGCCAGTTTGGGGAGCGCAATAGCATCAACCCCCATTGATGTTGTTAGGGTAAGTTTCCGCAACCATGAGCGACAAGCCGTTACTAAATTAATTACAGACCCGTTTAATGAACCAAAGAAAATTGAAGAAGAGCGGCGGTCCCTTCCCTGCTCACATTTACACGAGCACCTCCGACTGCTTCATTCAAACTTTCAAAAACGAGGGTTTCTGGGCATTTTACAAAGGATTCATTCCAACTTTATTCCGTATGGGTCCTTGGAACATAATTTTCTTCATCACTTACGAGCAACTAAAGAAACTGTATTAAGCACTTAAGTATTAAGACTAAAGGCATTATTTATTTTCAATCTGTACCATGCACTTAACAATAGTATTCCAAATAAATACTTGCAATCACTCGTCGTCGTCTTTGTAACTAGAATACGACGGGTTGAGAAATCTACCGCGGTGACTGAATGTATAGAACGAAGGGACGTTTTTGAAGGTCTCCCAAAACCGATTTTCCAACTCGGCAGAGGCTTTGATTTCTTTAAAGTCGCCTGCGACGTTCATGACCCCATACATTATGACAAATAAACTGATGAAGGCTTGAATTATAACCTGAAATTTGTGTTATTAAATGGGGGAGACGGGCGGTGGTGACTTACATCGAGTGGCAAGTGGGTGAAATCCAACTCGTTTAATCGCAAATACGAACGATCTGGAAGCGAAATTTGAGGTTAGGGTGACAACACAAAATTCACTTACGTTGGGCTGCTGAATACGCAACGTGAAACAGAGACAAAAACCCAATAGTTAAAACGAATCGGTGAAAAAGCGTGGCTGGCATTTTAAATAGAGTCGAAAAGTATTAAATTAATAAATTGCGAGAAAATTACTCCATTAGTGATTTTTGTACACAATGACAAAATTAACGTTGGTAGTACTGGTACAGAGCGCGATTTTACCGACCGATCGACATTTTAGTCAACGATTTTACTTCTTTATTAGTTTATATGTATTTTCCAACGAAATGACGTTGTTATATTAGTTAAATTACCGTGTGGTACACAATTCACTCAAACGTGTCCCATTTAACCCATGATGGTGCACCTACCCCACTACGTTTGAATCCCGCGCCGTGCTTACTCATTGGCCCGTCCCAAAACAGCTGTCACTGTTGGTGTTCTTTAATGTCAACAAAGGGCCTTCACGAACGACGTAGAAAATCGCCCGTTTTTCGATAAAGTGTTTAATTCCAGTGGTGCGAGATGGGAGCAGTCCTGGGCCTGTGTTCGGCCCTCCCGGTATGACTCACCCTTTCCGAAATTCTCGTTACTATTTTTATCGATTTGCAGCTAGCATGTTGCTGCGGAAGCACCGCTTGCTCTTTGTGCTGTTCAGCATGCCCTTCGTGTCGCAATTCGACGTCATCCAGGGTCATGTACGCCCTTATGCTGTTGGTAGGGACGATAGCGGCATGCATTATGTTGTCTCCGGGGCTGCAGGATGTGCTCCGGAAGGTGCCGTTTTGCACCAACAGCAGCAGCAATTATTTGCCGCAATCGGTCTCGATTAATTGCGACCACGCCGTGGGTTATTTGGCCGTTTATAGGATATGTTTTATTTTGACTTGTTTCTTTGTTCTGATGGCGCTGATGATGATTGGGGTGAAGACGTCGCGGGATCCCAGAGCTGGGATTCAGAATGGGTTTGTAGAGAGAGGTGTGAGAGTTTAGTGAGGGAAACGTGGTTAATTTCAGTTTTTGGGGACTTAAGTATCTTCTGGTGATTGGTGGCATTATTGGGGCGTTTTTCATTCCTGAGGGGTCATTTGGGGAGACTTGGATGTACTTTGGGATGATTGGAGGCTTTCTGTTTATATTAATCCAGCTGATTTTGATTGTTGATTTTGCCCATTCATGGGCGGAGGCTTGGGTGGGTAATTTTGAGGAAACGGAATCCAAAGGATGGTATTTTGCGTTACTGGCAGCCACGTTCCTCAATTTTGCACTAACCATCACCGGCATAGTCTTACTTTTTGTATTTTTCACAAAGGTAAGTTGATTACGAAAGTTTGGCGAAAATAAAAATAAACAAATTTTAGTCCAGCGGTTGCGATTTACACAAATTCTTCATCTCGTTTAATTTAATCTTGGCCGTTATTATTAGTGCGGTGTCGATTTTACCAGCTGTACAAGAAAAATTACCAAGGTCGGGACTTCTGCAGTCGTCCGTTGTGTCCTTGTACGTTACTTACTTGACATGGTCTGCAGTTTCTAATTCCCCAGGTAAAAAGTTGGGTTAGAACTACTAGCGTTTTGATTGGTTGCCCACGCTCCGCCCGTTTTTAAAGGCGGAGCTTAATTACAAGTTAGTTCGTCCGGAATGCGACTTACCGCGTGTTTGTAGATTCGGAATGCAACCCAGGCCTTCTGGGTATCGTGGGTGCCGGCAGCACCACCAAAAACCACCAGATGGGTTTCGATTCTGAGGGAATAGTGGGACTTATTGTTTGGATGTGCTGCGTCTTGTACTCATCCCTGCGGTCCGCTAGTCAGTCGTCGAAAATCACCATGTCAGAAAACATGCTAGTCAAGGATAACGGGGCCGGTGAGTAAACTTACTAACCCCTCTATGTCGTCCCATAGCATTATGTAGTGCTTCGTTTTGCTTAAGTTAAATAGATGTCTCCACTTAACTAACTCTATTTTTGTGTGCAGTAAGGAGCGGCGGATCGGATCACCTTGTTGAAAACGAAGGTACGCACTTAGTTTGACTTTAGTAACAAAACATAATGCTGTGGAAAGTTTGGCTTCTAACTTTAGTTGCTCGTAGCTGCTTTTCTTTTATTTTACTGTTTCCCCTTTTCTGTATTGAAGGCTATATCCCTATCACAGGTAAAGATGACGGCGACACTGCCGAACGGGGCGAGAAGAAGGTCTGGGATAACGAGGAAGACACAGTTGCGTATTCGTGGAGTTTCTTCCACTTGATGTTTGCCTTAGCCACGTTGTACGTGATGATGACGCTGACCAACTGGTACAAGTACGTAGTGAAGGGTCAGTTTCAGTTTGTACACCCGTCCCTACTGATAATTTTTTTAGGCCGGACTCGAGCTTGAACAATAAGGCGAATTCGGCGTCGATGTGGATCAAAGTCATCTCGAGCTGGCTCTGCTTGGCGTTGTATGGGTGGACGCTGGTCGCACCGATTGTGTTGCCGGATCGCGAGTTTAATTAATTTATCCGTTTCAGTCTGAGATGATTAGATGTGTGATATTTTGTTGTTGCTATAAATTCGTCTATCTTTTATTGTGTGTCGTTTCTTGTTTGATTTTAGGAAGCACTGTGAATTTCGGCTTGGAGGTTATGAGCTGCGAATTTTACTATCGTGTATTCTTCCCTTATTCTAATGTTGTGATCAAGTTAGATACAATTTTGTATTACATGCAAATAAGTAGATGTAGGTGTTACAGTTCTTTGTATATTATTTTTAAAAATGACTAGATTTTTACGGAGGTACATTACATATTCATATAATTATTGGTAACTAATAAAGTTTCGAAACACGTAGGGAGTTGTTTTATTTGGACGGATTTGCATACAGGAAGCTTTTATGGGAAGTGTGACTGAAGTGGGTTTTTTGTGACGTGTGATGCGTAAAAGGTTTTAGCATCCACCAATTTCCGGTCTCCATCTTTAAATATGGCGGAGTTGATCATTTTTTGTAGGTATTATTAAAAATAGAAATCGAAAATTAGTTAACATAGTAAGCTGTGACGACTAAATGTCAAAAGCTTTATTGCATTAAAACTGGCTTAAACATTTTTCGCTTCCAGTTACTATCAAAAATCAAAAGAACAAACATTTTCCAAGGAAAACACTAAGTGAAAACTGCTCAGTTCTGGAAAAAGAAAAACTGGATGCATGCCGGAAAATTTCAGGTAAGTATGTGAAAATCGCGTTAACCTAGAGTGTCGTGACGATTGTTACAAATTTGGTTTTATTCATGAAAAAATTTCAATTGGCGCTTATTTTTTGTCAAAAAGGGCACATTTTCAGATGAAAAACGTCCGGAAAATCACGTAAAAGTGCGAAATTAAAAAAATCGGTTTTAACGCGGTGTGCTGTGACGATTATGTCAATGAATTTTTCTTTTTAAAATGGTGGAAAGCATCAACCAGAACCCAAAACTATCCACATTTCCACGAAAATACGACAAAATAAAAACCCCAACCATGAAATGAAAAGCAATTTTCGATTTCATTAATTACTTGGATCAAAGAATGGTGTGAAATATTGAACGTATGTCTTCTCGTTTTCGGATATATGTATTTTTTAAATAATGCAATGAAACACACATCTGTAATGTTGGTTGCATGTTGACACAAATCTTTAAGATGAGAAGCTGTGTCAAGATGGCTTTTTTAAAATCCAAGAAATCGCCAGATCTAGGCCGTGCTTTGTTATAATTACAAAATATTTTTGTTCACTTAACTGAAAATTTTCTTTGTACGGTGTAGAAAGTACCAAATGAATTAATAATTTAAAAACCAGTATCTCTGTATTTGTTCTGCGTCATTCTAGGACCTCGTTTTTGACTGTTTTTATTTTTTTGAAACCAAAACAACTACACATTTGGAAATTTTATTGTCGCTAAAAGACATATTTTTTTATTCATATTGATGTAGTTTACAAACTAGACATAGACAGAAAGGAGACTGTCGATAGGAAAAACCGGAAATTATAATAACTGGTTTTAATTAAGTAAGTTACTGTTACTATTTTTTACAATTTAAAAAACGATAATTGCAGTATTTACACTATAAGAAGGACAAAACAATTGTAAGCAATATTTTAGTGTAACATATCTTAAAAAATATACGCTGAGTTGTAAATTTTCACAGTTAAGGGGGGCGTCTGCGCCAATTTTAACACTTTCGGAAAAAAATCGGAATTTAGATTTTTCTACTACATGTTGGACTTTTTTAAATCTTTTTCAACATACATACCGGGTGTCTGAAAAATGGGGACTTCTCATATTTATTTTAAAATTGGTAATTTTGCTACGTTTAACAACTAAACAACACTACTTAACTAATATTAAAACTTTTAGTTAATATTTCTGTTTTATTTTCGGATAAATTTAAAGAAATCTGGTGTTTTATTTTTTACGAATTTGAAAAAGCCTCGAGAGCCGCAATGTTTTTTTTTTTTTCTAATTCGGGAGGCTCTTGATCATGTTCTTCTGTCGAGTGGGAATGAAAACTAATAATAGAATCTAGAATAGTCTAGTGAAAAAAGTAAAAAACAAAAACGCTAATCGTATTTTTTTTTTGTTATAGTATTTGCTATAAAATTTATTTGTTATTTCATGCATCTGACCTGACTTGACCTACCGTGACCTGACCTCTTCTAGTTAGAAAAATAATCGAAAATGTCAAAAGTGTCAAAATCAGTTTTATCTCGTCAAATATTAGCCCCGCCCACCCACCCTCTGTTTTTTTGGAAGGTATTTGATTTACCAAAATCAGCCTTATCTTAGTAAGTACTAGCCTCCCCCGCCCTCTTCTATTTCTAAGGACTAATTTTACTTCTGTTAAGTATAAAGTCATTTATTTGATTCAGATCGGATAAAATCAATCACTGGGTGGGCGGGGCTAGTTATGTTCTTCTGTCGAGTGAGACTGGAAACTAATAATAGAATCTAGAATTGTCTAGTGAAAAAAGTAAAAAACAAAAACGCTAATCGTATTTTTTTTTTGTTATAGTATTTGCTATAAAATTTATTTGTTATTTCATGCATCTGACCTGACTTGACCTACCGTGACCTGACCTCTTCTAGTTAGAAAAATAATCGAAAATGTCAAAAGTGTCAAAATCAGTTTTATCTCATCAAATATTAGCCCCGCCCACCCACCCTCTGTTTTTTTGGAAGGTATTTGATATGCCAAAATCAGCCTTTTCTTAGTAAGTACTAGCCTCCCCCCCCTCTTCTATTTCTAAGGACTAATTTTACTTCTGTTAAGTATAAGGTCATTTATTTGATTCAGATCGGATAAAATCAATTACTGAAAAAGAGGCAGGGTGGGTGGGCGGGGCTAGTCATGTTCTTCTGTCGAGTGGGAATGGAAACTAATCATCGTGTATTATTTTGGAAGTTTATGGAGATTTTTTTTGCAAATTATATTATTTAAAACAATTTTAGGGGACTTCGGTGTTCTATTTTTGGAAAATTCTGACCTGACATGCTTTTGAGTTCATTTTAGGACTGCGTTTTTTTTTTAACAATGTTGAGGTTCTAGGTATTCCTGTTTGGAAAGAATTTGAAAGTGCTTTGGAGCCTCTAGTGTCTTTTCTCTTTTCTTATAATCATTTAATTAAATTTCTTAGGGGATACGTCATTTGCGAAAATCAGTCTTAACCGGTACTAGCCCCACCCATCCGCCCTCCCGTTTCTTAGAGGGTATGTCATTTGCCAAAATCAGCCTTATTTTAGAAGGTACTAGCCCCGCCCACCCACCCTCTCTTTCCTTAGAGGTTAACTCATATGCCAAAATCAGTTTTATCTTATAAGGTACTAGCCCCACCCACCCGCCCTTTCTTTTCTTACAGTGTATTTCATTTGCCAAAATCATTCTTATCTTAGCAGGTACTAGCCCCGCCCACCCACACTCTCTTTTCTTACAGGATGTCATTTGCCAAAATCAGCCTTATCTTAGCAGGTGCTAGCCCCGCCAACCCACCCTCTCTTTTCTTAGAGGATATGTGATTTACCAAAATCGATCTTATTTTGGCAAGTACTAACCCCACCCACCCGCCCGCCATTTTCTTAGATCTCATTTGCCAAAATCAGTCTTACCTAGTGATGTGACTGTAAAAAAAAAACGTTTGTTTTATTGGTTTTAAAACACTTTTTTTTTTTAATATAGAATAGGTTTTTTTGTTTTTTTTTAACAAATTAGGCATTATTGGAGCGTTTTTCATTCCTGAGGGGTCATTTGGGGAGACTTGGATGTACTTTGGGATGATTGGAGGGTTTCTGTTTATATTAATCCAGCTGATTTTGCCCATTCATGGGCGGAGGCTTGGGTGGGTAATTTTGAGGAAACGGAATCCAAAGGATGGTATTTTGCGTTACTAGCAGCCACGTTCCTCAATTTTGCACTAACCATCACCGGTATAGTTTTACTTTACGTATTTTTCACAAAGGTAAGTTGATACAAAAGTTTGGCGAAAATAAAAAAAAACAAATTTTAGTCCAGCGGTTGCGATTTACACAAATTCTTCGTCTCGTTTAATTTAATTTTGGCCGTTATTATTAGTGCGGTGTCGATTTTACCAGCTGTACAAGAAAAATTACCAAGGTCGGGACTTCTGCAGTCGTCCGTTGTGTCCTTGTACGTTACTTACTTGACATGATGGTCTGCAGTTTCTAATTCCCCAGGTAAAAAGTTGGGTTAGAACTACTAGCGTTTTGATTGGTTGACCCACGCTCCGCCCGTTTTTAAAGGCGGAGCTTAATTACAAGTTATTTCGTCCGGAATGCGACTTACCGCGTGTTTGTAGATTCGGAATGCAACCCAGGCCTTCTGGGTATCGTGGGTGCCGGCAGCACCACCAAAAACCACCAGATGGGTTTCGATTCTGAGGGAATAGTGGGACTTATTGTTTGGATGTGCTGCGTCTTGTACTCATCCCTGCGTTCCGCTAGCCAGTCGTCGAAAATCACCATGTCCGAAAATATGCTAGTCAAGGATAACGGGGCCGGTGAGTAAACTTACTAACCCCTCTATGTCGTCCCATAGCATTATGTAGTGCTTCGTTTTGGTTAAGTTAAATAGATGTCTCCACTTAACTAACTCTATTTTTGTGTGCAGTAAGGAGCGGCGGATCGGATCACCTTGTTGAAAACGAAGGTACGCACTTAGTTTGACTTTAGTAACCAAAACATAATTCTGTGGAAAGTTTGGCTTCTAACTTTAGTTGCTCGTAGCTGCTTTTCTTTTATTTTACTGTTTCCCCTTTTCTGTATTGAAGGCTATATCCCTATCACAGGTAAAGATGACGGCGACACTGCCGAACGGGGCGAGAAGAAGGTCTGGGATAACGAGGAAGACACGGTTGCGTATTCGTGGAGTTTCTTCCACTTGATGTTTGCCTTAGCCACGTTGTACGTGATGATGACGCTGACCAACTGGTACAAGTACGTAGTGAAGGGTCAGTTTCAGTTTGTACACCCGTCCCTACTGATGATTTTTTTTAGGCCGGACTCGAGCTTGAACAATAAGGCCAATTCGGCGTCGATGTGGATCAAAGTCATCTCGAGCTGGCTCTGCTTGGCGTTGTATGGGTGGACGCTGGTCGCACCGATTGTGTTGCCGGATCGCGAGTTCAATTAATTTATCCGTTTCAGTCTGAGATGATTAGATGTGTGATATTTTGTTGTTGCTATAAATTCGTCTATCTTTTATTGTGTGTCGTTTCTTGTTTGATTTTAGGAAGCACCTGTGAGTTTCGGCTTGGAGATTATGAGCTGCGAATTTTACTATCGTGTATTCTTCCCTTATTCTAATGTTGTGATCAAGTTAGATACAATTTTGTATTACATGCAAATAAGTAGATGTAGGTGTTACAGTTCTTTGTATATTGTTTTTAAAAATGACTAGATTTTTACGGAGGTACATTGCATATTCATATAATTATTGGTAATTAATAAAGTTTCGAAACACGTAGGGCATTGTTTTATTTGGACGGAATTTGCATACAGGAAGGTTTTATGGGAAGTGTGACTGTAGTGGATTTTTGGTGACGTGTGATGCGTAAGGTTTTGGCATTCACCTATTTCCGGTCTCCATCTTTAAATATGGTGGAGTTGATAATTTCTTGTACGTATTATTTATTAAGAAGTAATTAATAAAAAAAATTAATATGAGAAAACATTTAACGTTTTTTCTGCTCCATTTCAAACAACTATTAAATGTTTAAAAATACTTCTGAAAAAAAATTACATTATGAAAAATTTCCATTGGAATCGAAAATTAGTTTAACATACTTAGTTGGCTGTGACGACTAAACGTCAAAAGCTTTATTGCATTAAAACTGGCTTAAACATTTTTCGCTTCCAGGTACTATCAAAAATTAAAAGAACAAACATTTTCCAAGGAAAACCGTAAGTGAAAACTGCTCAGTTCTGGAAAAATAAAAACTGGATGCACGCCGGAAAATTCCAGGTAAGTATGTGAAAATCGCATTAACCTAGACTGTTGTGACGATTGTTACAAATTTGGTTTCATTCAGGAAAAAACCTCAATCCGGGCTGATTTTTTGTCGAAAAGGGAACATTTTCAGATGAAAAACGTCCGGAAAATCACGTAAAAGTGCGAAATTAAAAAAAAAAAAAATCGATTTAAACGCGGTGTGCTGTGACGATTATGTCAGTGAATTTTTCTTTGGAAAGCGTCAACCAGAACCCAAAACTATCCACATTTCCACGAAAATACCACGAAAGAACAACACCCAATCATGAAATAAAAAACAATTTTCGATTTACAACACTACTTAACTAGTATTAAAACTTTTAGTTAATATTTCTGTTTTATTTTCGGATAAATTTAAAGGAATCTGAGGATTTTTTACGAATTTGAAAAAGTTTTGAGAGCCGCAATTTTCTAATTCGGGAGGCTCTTCTTGATCATGTTCTTCTGTCGAGTGGAAATGGTATCTAATAATAGAATCTAGAATAAAAAAAAACGCTAATCGTATTTTTTTTAATACTATTTGCTATAAAATTTATTTGTTATTTCATGCATCTGACCTGCCTTGACCTACCGTGACCTGACCTCTTCTAGTTAGAAAAATAGTCGAAAATGTCAAAAGTGTCAAAATCAGTTTTATCTCATCAAATATTAGCCCCGCCCACCCACCCTCTGTTTTTTTGGAAGATACTTGATTTGCCAAAATCAGCCTCATCTTAGTAAGTACTAGCCTCCCCCCCTCTTCTATTTCTAAGGACTAATTTTACTTCTGTTAAGTATAAGGTCATTTATTTGATTCAGATCGGATAAAATCAATCACTGAAAAAGAGTCAGGGTGGGTGGGCGGGGCTAGTTATGTTCTTCTGTCGAGTGGGACTGGAAACTAATAATAGAATCTAGAATAGTCTAATGAAAAAATTAAAAAAAAAAAACGCTAATCGTATTTTTTTGCTATAGTATTTGCTATAATTTTTATTTGTTATTTCATGCATCTGACCTGACTTGACCTACCCTGACCTGACCTCTTCTAGTTAGAAAAATAGTCAAAAGTGTCAAAATCAGTTTTATCTCATCAAATATTAGCCCCGCCCACCCACCCTCTGTTTTTTTGGGAGATACTTGATTTGCCAAAATCAGCCTCATTTTAGTAAGTACTAGCCTCCCCCCCTCTTCTATTTCTAAGGACTAATTTTACTTCTGTTAAGTATAAGGTCATTTATTTGATTCAGATCGGATAAAATCAATCACTGAAAAAGAGGCAGGGTGGGTGGGCGGGGCTAGTTATGTTCTTCTGTCGAGTGGGACTGGAAACTAATAATAGAATCTAGAATAGTCTAATGAAAAAAGTAAAAAAAAAACGCTAATCGTATTTTTTTTGTTATAGTATTTGTTATAAAATTTATTTGTTATATCATGCATCTGATCTGACTTGACCTACCATGACCTGACCTCTTCTAGTTAGAAAAATAGTCGAAAATGTCAAAAGTGTCAAAATCAGTTTTATCTCATCAAATATTAGCCCCGCCCACCCACCCTCTGTTTTTTTGGAAGGTATTTGATTTGCCAAAATCAGTCTTATCTTAGTAAGTCCTAGCCTCCCCCCCTCTTCTATTTCTAAGGACTAATTTTACTTCTGTTAAGTGTAAGGTCATTTATTTGATTCAGATCAGATAAAATAAATCACTGAAAAAGAGGCAGGGTGGGTGGGCGGGGCTAGTCATGTTCTTCTGTCGAGTGGGAATGGAAACTAATCATCGTGTATTATTTTGGAAGTTTATGGAGATTTTTTTTGCAAATTATATTATTTAAAACAATTTTAGGGGACTTCGGTGTTCTATTTTTGGAAAATTCTGACCTGACATGCTTTTGAGTTCATTTTAGGACTGCGTTTTTTTTTTTGAAAACAATCTTGAGGTTCTAGGTATTCCTGTTTAGAAAGAATTTGAAAGTGCTTTGGAGCCTCTAGTGTCTTTTCTCTTTTCTTATAATCATTTAATTAAATTTCTTAGGGGATACGTCATTTGCGAAAATCAGTCTTAACCGGTACTAGTCCCACCCATCCGCCCTCCCGTTTCTTAGAGGGTATGTCATTTGCCAAAATCAGCCTTATTTTAGAAGGTACTAGCCCCGCCCACCCACCCTCTCTTTCCTTAGAGGTTAACTCATATGCCAAAATCAGTTTTATCTTATAAGGTACTAGCCCCACCCACCCGCCCTTTCTTTTCTTACAGGGTATTTCATTTGCCAAAATCATTCTTATCTTAGCAGGTACTAGCCCCGCCCACCCACACTCTCTTTTCTTACAGGATGTCATTTGCCAAAATCAGCCTTATCTTAGCAGGTACTAGCCCCGCCCACCCACCCTCTCTTTTCTTAGAGGATATGTGATTTACCAAAATCGATCTTATTTTGGCAGGTACTAACCCCACCCACCCGCCCGCCATTTTCTTAGATGGATCTCATTTGCCAAAATCAGTCTTATTTAGTGATGTGACTGTAAAAAAAACCGTTTGTTTTATTGGTTTTAAAACACTTTTTTTTGTTTTTAAATATAGAATAGGTTTTTTTTGTTTTTTTTTTAACAAATTAGGCATTATTGGGGCGTTTTTCATTCCTGAGGGGTCATTTGGGGAGACTTGGATGTACTTTGGGATGATTGGAGGCTTTCTGTTTATATTCATCCAGCTGATTTTGATTGTTGATTTTGCCCATTCGTGGGCGGAGGCTTGGGTGGGTAATTTTGAGGAAACGGAATCCAAAGGATGGTATTTTGCGTTACTGGCAGCCACGTTCCTCAATTTTGCACTAACCATCACCGGTATAGTCTTACATTTTGTATTTTTCACAAAGGTAAGTTGATTACGAAAGTTTGGCGAAAATAAAAATAAACAAATTTTAGTCCAGCGGTTGCGATTTACACAAATTCTTCATCTCGTTTAATTTAATCTTGGCCGTTATTATCAGTGCGGTGTCGATTTTACCGGCTGTACAGGAAAAATTACCAAGGTCGGGACTTCTGCAGTCGTCCGTTGTGTCCTTGTACGTTACTTACTTGACATGGTCTGCAGTTTCTAATTCCCCAGGTAAAAAGTTGGGTTAGAACTACTAGCGTTTTGATTGGTTGACCCACGCTCCGCCCGTTTTTAAAGGCGGAGCTTAATTACAAGTTATTTCGTCCGGAATGCGACTTACCGCGTGTTTGTAGATTCGGAATGCAACCCAGGCCTTCTGGGTATCGTGGGTGCCGGCAGCACCACCAAAAACCACCAGATGGGTTTCGATTCTGAGGGAATAGTAGGACTTATCGTTTGGATGTGCTGCGTCTTGTACTCATCCCTGCGTTCCGCTAGTCAGTCGTCGAAAATCACCATGTCCGAAAACATGCTAGTCAAGGATAACGGGGCCGGTGAGTAAACTTACTAACCCCTCTATGTCGTCCCATAGCATTATGTAGTGCTTCGTTTTGGTTAAGTTAAATAGATGTCTCCACTTAACTAACTCTATTTTTGTGTGCAGTAAGGAGCGGCGGATCGGATCACCTTGTTGAAAACGAAGGTACGCACTTAGTTTGACTTTAGTAACCAAAACATAATGCTGTGGAAAGTTTGGCTTCTAACTTTAGTTGCTCGTAGCTGCTTTTCTTTTATTTTACTGTTTCCCCTTTTCTGTATTGAAGGCTATATCCCTATCACAGGTAAAGATGACGGCGACACTGCCGAACGGGGCGAGAAGAAGGTCTGGGATAACGAGGAAGACACGGTTGCGTATTCGTGGAGTTTCTTCCACTTGATGTTTGCCTTAGCCACGTTGTACGTGATGATGACGCTGACCAACTGGTACAAGTACGTAGTGAAGGGTCAGTTTCAGTTTGCACACCCGTCCCTACTGATAATTTTTTAAGCCGGACTCGAGCTTGAACAATAAGGCCAATTCGGCGTCGATGTGGATCAAAGTCATCTCGAGCTGGCTCTGCTTGGCGTTGTATGGGTGGACGCTGGTCGCACCGATTGTGTTGCCGGATCGCGAGTTCAATTAATTTATCCGTTTCAGTCTGAGATGATTAGATGTGTGATATTTTGTTGTTGCTATAAATTCGTCTATCTTTTATTGTGTGTCGTTTCTTGTTTGATTTTAGGAAGCACCGTGAATTTCGGCTTGGAGGTTATGAGCTGCGAATTTTACTATCGTGTATTCTTCCCTTATTCTAATGTTGTGATCAAGTTAGATACAATTTTGTATTACATGCAAATAAGTAGATGTAGGTGTTACAGTTCTTTGTATATTATTTTTAAAAATGACTAGATTTTTACGGAGGTACATTGCATATTCATATAATTATTGGTAACTAATAAAGTTTCGAAACACGTAGGGCATTGTTTTATTTCGACGGATTTGCATACAGGAAGGTTTTAGGGGAAGTGTGACTGAAGTGGGTTTTTTGTGACGTGCGATGCGTAAGGTTTTGGCATCCACCTATTTCCGGTCACCATGTTTAAATATGGCGGAGTTGATCATTTTTTGTAGGTATTATTAAAAGTAGAAATCGAAAATTAGTTAACATAGTAAGCTGTGACGACTAAATGTCAAAAGCTTTATTGCTGTGTGCTTTATTGCATTAAAACTGGCTTAAACATTTTTCGCTTCCAGTTACTACCAAAAATCAAAAAAACAAACATTTTCCAACGAAAACACTGAGTGAAAACTGCCCACTTCTGGAAAAAGAAAAACTGGATGCACGCCGGAAAATTCCAGGTAAGTATGTAAAAATCGCATTAACATAGTGTCGTGACGATTGTTACAAATTTGGTTTTATTCATGAAAAAACTTCAATTGGCGCTTATTTTTTGTCAAAAAGGGCACATCTTCAGATGAAAAACGTTCGGAAAATCACGTCAAAGTGCGAAATTAAAAAAAATCGATTTAAACACGGTGTGCTGTGACGATTATGTCAGTGAATTTTTCTTTTTAAAATGGTGGAAAGCGTCAACCAGAACCCAAAACTATCCACATTGTGAGATTTTGAACGTACTGTCTTCTCGTTTTCGGATATATTTTTTAAATAATGCAATGAAACACACATCTGTAATGTTGGTTGCATGTTGACACAAATCTTTAAGATGAGAAGCTGTGTCAAGATGGCTTTTTTAAAATCCAAGAAATCGCCAGATCTAGGCCGTGCTTTGTTATAATTACAAAATATTTTTGTTCACTTAACTGAAAATTTTCTTTGTACGGTGTAGAAAGTACCAAATGAATTAATAATTTAAAAACCAGTATCTCTGTATTTGTTCTGCGTCATTCTAGGACCTCGTTTTTGACTGTTTTTATTTTTTTGAAACCAAAACAACTACACATTTGGAAATTTTATTGTCGCTAAAAGACATATTTTTTTATTCATATTGATGTAGTTTACAAACTAGACATAGACAGAAAGGAGACTGTCGATAGGAAAAACCGGAAATTATAATAACTGGTTTTAATTAAGTAAGTTACTGTTACTATTTTTTACAATTTAAAAAACGATAATTGCAGTATTTACACTATAAGAAGGACAAAACAATTGTAAGCAATATTTTAGTGTAACATATCTTAAAAAATATACGCTGAGTTGTAAATTTTCACAGTTAAGGGGGGCGTCTGCGCCAATTTTAACACTTTCGGAAAAAAATCGGAATTTAGATTTTTCTACTACATGTTGGACTTTTTTAAATCTTTTTCAACATACATACCGGGTGTCTGAAAAATGGGGACTTCTCACATTTATTTTAAAATTGGTAATTTTGCTACGTTTAACAACTAAACAACACTACTTAACTAATATTAAAACTTTTAGTTAATATTTCTGTTTTATTTTCGGATAAATTTAAAGAAATCTGGTGTTTTATTTTTTACGAATCTGAAAAAGTCTCGAGAACCGCAATGTTTTTTTTTTTTTTCTAATTCGGGAGGCTCTTGATCATGTTCTTCTGTCGAGTGGGAATGAAAACTAATAATAGAATCTAGAATCGTCTAATGAAAAAAGTAAAAAAAACGCTAATCGTATTTTGTTTTTGTAATACTATTTGCTATAAAATTTATTTGTTATTTCATGCATCTGACCTGACTTGACTTACCGTGACCTGACCTCTTCTAGTTAGAAAAATAGTCGAAAATGTCAAAAGTGTCAAAATCAGTTTCATCTCATCAAATATTAGCCCCGCCCACCCACCCTCTGTTTTTTTGGAAGGTATTTGATTTGCCAAAATCAGCCTTATCTTAGTAAGTACCAGCCTCCCCCCCTCTTCTATTTCTAAGGACTAATTTTACTTCTGTTAAGTATAAGGTCATTTATTTGATTCAGATCGGATAAAATCAATCACTGAAAAAGAGGCAGGGTGGGTGGGCGTGGCTAGTTATGTTCTTCTGTCGAGTGGGACTGGAAACTAATAATAGAATCTAGAATAGTCTAATGAAAAAATTAAAAAAAAAAACGCTAATCGTATTTTTTTTGTAATACTATTTGCTATAAAATTTATTTGTTATTTCATGCATCTGACCTGACTTGACCTACCGTGACCTGACCTCTTCTAGTTAGAAAAATAGTCGAAAATGTCAAAAGTGTCAAAATCAGTTTTATCTCATCAAATATTAGCCCCGCCCACCCACCCTCTGTTTTTTTGGAAGATATTTGATTTGCCAAAATCAGCCTTATCTTAGTAAGTACTAGCTTCCCCCCTCTTCTATTTCTAAGGACTGATTTTACTTCTGTTAAATATAAGGTCATTTATTTGATTCAGATCGGATAAAATCAATTACTGAAAAAGAGGCAGGGTGGGTGGGCGGGGCTAGTCATGTTCTACTGTCGAGTGGGAATGGAAACTAATCATCGTGTATTATTTTGGAAGTTTATGGAGATTTTTTTTGCAAATTATATTATTTAAAACAATTTTAGGGGACTTTGGTGTTCTATTTTTGGAAAATTCTGACCTGACATGCTTTTGAGTTCATTTTAGGACTGCGTTTTTTTTTTTAAACAATGTTGAGGTTCGAGGTATTCCTGTTTGGAAAGAATTTGAAAGTGCTTTGGAGCCTCTAGTGTCTTTTCTCTTTTCTTATAATCATTTAATTAAATTTCTTAGGGGATACGTCATTTGCGAAAATCAGTCTTAACCGGTACTAGCCCCACCCATCCGCCCTCCCGTTTCTTAGAGGGTATGTCATTTGCCAAAATCAGCCTTATTTTAGAAGGTACTAGCCCCGCCCACCCACCCTCTCTTTCCTTAGAGGTTAACTCATATGCCAAAATCAGTTTTATCTTATAAGGTACTAGCCCCACCCACCCGCCCTTTCTTTTCTTACAGGGTATTTCATTTGCCAAAATCATTCTTATCTTAGCAGGTACTAGCCCCGCTCACCCACACTCTCTTTTTTTACAGGATGTCATTTGCCAAAATCAGCCTTATCTTAGCAGGTACTAGCCCCGCCCACCCACCCTCTCTTTTCTTAGAGGATATGTGATTTACCAAAATCGATCTTATTTTGGCAAGTACTAACCCCATCCACCCGCCCGCCATTTTCTTAGATGGATCTCATTTGCCAAAATCAGTCTTATCTAGTGATGTGACTGTAAAAAAAAACTTTGTTTTATTGGTTTTAAAACACTTTTTTTTTGTTTTTAAATATAGAATAGGTTTTTTTTGTTTCTTTTAACAAATTAGGCATTATTGGGGCGTTTTTCATTCCTGAGGGGTCATTTGGGGAGACTTGGATGTACTTTGGGATGATTGGAGGCTTTCTGTTTATATTAATCCAGCTGATTTTGATTGTTGATTTTGCCCATTCGTGGCCGGAGGCTTGGGTGGGTAATTTTGAGGAAACGGAATCCAAAGGATGATATTTTGCGTTACTAGCAGCTACGTTCCTCAATTTTGCACTAACCATCACCGGTATAGTCTTACTTTTTGTATTTTTCACAAAGGTAAGTTGATTACGAAAGTTTGGCGAAAATAAAAATAAACAAATTTTAGTCTAGCGGTTGCGATTTACACAAATTCTTCATCTCGTTTAATTTAATCTTGGCCGTTATTATTAGTGCGGTGTCGATTTTACCGGCTGTACAGGAAAAATTACCAAGGTCGGGACTTCTGCAGTCGTCCGTTGTGTCCTTGTACGTTACTTACTTGACATGGTCTGCAGTTTCTAATTCCCCAGGTAAAAAGTTGGGTTAGAACTACTAGCGTTTTGATTGGTTGCCCACGCTCCGCCCGTTTTTAAAGGCGGAGCTTAATTACAAGTTAGTTCGTCCGGAATGCGACTTACCGCGTGTTTGTAGATTCGGAATGCAACCCAGGCCTTCTGGGTATCGTGGGTGCCGGCAGCATCACCAAAAACCACCAGATGGGTTTCGATTCTGAGGGAATAGTGGCACTTATTGTTTGGATGTGCTGCGTCTTGTACTCATCCCTGCGTTCCGCTAGTCAGTCGTCGAAAATCACCATGTCCGAAAATATGCTAGTCAAGGATAACGGGGCCGGTGAGTAAACTTACTAACCCCTCTATGTCGTCCCATAGCATTATGTAGTGCTTCGTTTTGCTTAAGTTAAATAGATGTCTCCACTTAACTAACTCTATTTTTGTGTGCAGTAAGGAGCGGCGGATCGGATCACCTTGTTGAAAACGAAGGTACGCACTTAGTTTGACTTTAGTAACCAAAACATAATTCTGTGGAAAGTTTGGCTTCTAACTTTAGTTGCTCGTAGCTGCTTTTCTTTTATTTTACTGTTTCCCCTTTTCTGTATTGAAGGCTATATCCCTATCACAGGTAAAGATGACGGCGACACTGCCGAACGGGGCGAGAAGAAGGTCTGGGATAACGAGGAAGACACAGTTGCGTATTCGTGGAGTTTCTTCCACTTGATGTTTGCCTTAGCCACGTTGTACGTGATGATGACGCTGACCAACTGGTACAAGTACGTAGTGAAGGGTCAGTTTCAGTTTGTACACCCGTCCCTACTGATAATTTTTTTAGGCCGGACTCGAGCTTGAACAATAAGGCCAATTCGGCGTCGATGTGGATCAAAGTCATCTCGAGCTGGCTCTGCTTGGCGTTGTATGGGTGGACGCTGGTCGCACCGATTGTGTTGCCGGATCGCGAGTTTAATTAATTTATCCGTTTCAGTCTGAGATGATTAGATGTGTGATATTTTGTTGTTGCTATAAATTCGTCTATCTTTTATTGTGTGTCGTTTCTTGTTTGATTTTAGGAAGCACCTGTGAGTTTCGGCTTGGAGATTATGAGCTGCGAATTTTACTATCGTGTATTCTTCCCTTATTCTAATGTTGTGATCAAGTTAGATACAATTTTGTATTACATGCAAATAAGTAGATGT